TAAAAACTTAATTTTTAATTTTTGGGTATTTTAGGTACGAATTTATGAAATAAAAAGAAAATTTTGATAATAAAAATTAGTTTAGAAGTTGATTTTTAGATTATTAATGTTTATTGATAATTAAAAGAGGAGTTAAAAATTATACTTAATAGTATTAACTATAGATTTGTATTAAGATTGAGATTAGGAATTATGTTATATTTTTAATTCTATTATTAGAATTATTTTATTAGTTTCAAAAATTGAAACTAATATTTATAAATAATATGTTATTTGTAGATTGTATTACTGGTGAAGATTGTGGTGAGAGAGAAATTTTAAGGAATAATTTATTGAAAAAGCCACAAGGTAACCATGCTTTTAATTTGTGATTAGTGTTACTTCATGTTAATTGGGTGATTATTAAGAAAATTATGAATTTTGTAATATTGCATAATTGTGCAATATTATTATGAATTTGTTTGATTATTTTGGGAGGTGTTGGGAGACTTGCTATTGTTGTTGTATTTATGTGCCACGTGGTACGCCCCTATTGGAGCTCAATAGGTGGCTTGTAAGGGCTCGGGCTAATCTACCTTTGGCCGGGTAATTTAGCACCGAGTGAGGGCTACGGCTCGAGGTTAATGGAGGGATATAAGGATGGTTGTTTATGTGTATTGTATTATTTCTTATATTTATTGGAATTATATTATTTTTAATTCTCACTTAGTAAGCACACAATTAACTGTTTGTATACACTATCATAAATTGGCTTTGGTTACTGGGACTTTTGAGTCTCATTATGTGGTTAACAATTTTCAGGAGAAGAGCCAAGAGTGACACGTGGAGGAGTCCCAGAGGCTTAGTGGTATAGATCCACTGTCTCTTTTGGGTATTTAATTTATGATTTATAATGTGTTATATTGCCAATATTAGGGCTTTTTGTTTATTGTCAATTATATGAATATATAAATGTAATCATGTCTTTCAAACTATTTCTATTTTTGGTACAATTTGGATGATTGTAATTTTAATATTTGGTTTACTTTGGATTGGTTAAAATGGCATGATTATAAGGCCAAATAATTGGCTTGTGTTGAAAATTGACTAAATTGCTTATTTTATTTGTTGGGAGTATAAGGATGGATAAATGTAATTTAGTTTACTTGTTGGGAGTATAAGGATGGACAAATGTGATTTAGCCTAATGGTATGTGGGAGGTAAAAATTTATCTGAAATGTTATAGTGTATGAGTTGAAGCCAATTATAAAATATTTTATATCGAAATTATTGATATAAAAATGTGTTGGGTGGCTGTAACCCAACTATGGTTGAGTTAAATTATTTTAAAAAAGAATTTGGTGTGTTACACTATGTGCCGTGGCTCAGGCACTATCAGCTTTTATGATTTTGACAGTAGATTTTTTTTGCTATCACTTGATAGAAATCGAGTGAACTTCCAACAAGCCCTATTTCTCCCTCTAACGTTTGATTGAGGCGATTTAGGTGGCTGCAGAGAGCTTTCTCCTATTACTAGCTAATTGCTTTAGTTTCACCCTTAAATTATTTTTCAATTAAAAGTTGGATACTCATTTCAAAATTAACTATTTTTCTCATTTACATATGACCTGAGTGCCTAAGACTCTAATCATAAATCAAAAGCTACAAACATCACTTAGATCATACTCGATCGACTAAAACGGACTTATACATTACACCACATTACTAACAATACTCATGAAACACATTTTCATTACTCATCCTCTTTATCTCAAAAATAAAAGGGGGCTCTAATCTTATATTTCAACAATTAATCATCATAATTCAAGTGCCATTACACAACTTTTATTTGTACTAGTATTTTGACCTTGCTCTAAGTCTCACAATTAATACATGCATACCCTCGAGCTTAAAATACACTATATAATTTAACAAAACACATGGTGTAAGTAAGTCACAACATGAATCATCCTTAATTGGCAATATCATGCAAGAATACGCGCATTAATACTTCAAAAAGAAAAGGAGGCCTACTTATAAGATATGAATCCTATGCCTCGAGCTTTTTCCCTCTGTCCTGTCTCTTTGATCTAGTTCTTGCAATATTGAAGATAGTAAGGTGAGTACAACTACTTAATAACTAAAGTCCATCTAACTCATATTAATGCATGTTAATTAATTTAAATGTGAGTGACAAATGTCTTATTCTCAATTCATTTAGCATGATCAAGAAACACTAAACTATAATTCTTACTCACATTAGCATGTTTTCATAAGGTAATGACTTATTAACACATTTTCACATAGATAAAATACTAAACTCATGATTTTCTTTACCAGAGTCACAATACAAATAACCATATGCTCTTTTATCACTATATGGATGATTACACCTCTCTTAAATCCTCCTCATTCCTCTAATATGAAACCGCAGGTTATAATACATTAGGATTGTTTATGAATTGAGATTATCCTAGCTAAATACGTGTGAGAGGTTACTCAATCAAGATTTTCTAACTCACTTGTGAGTTACAGTTTCCCCCATTTCTCACACTATGGGGTGCAATTCTCCCTATACTAGTTTTCTTGTTGAACAAGTGGATAACTAGCTAGGTTTGAATTTCTTATTGAATCAGTGAGACAATAAATATGATAAATTCAGATAAACCATCGATCTCTGATGGAAACCTTACCATATGAATTTAATTCTCTATTCTTTTTTCAAGGCAAACTCTTGCCTTTCAAGATCATGTGATGCATAAACATGCAATAACATCTAGCATGCAAGTGTTCACTACCTAAGCATGCTCAATTATCTCATTATACTTTCACTACACATATTTATCACATAATTTCATTTAATACGCATCATCGGACTCCACAACATGTTATGTCATCAAACTCCTTTATCACATGATTGTTGAACCTTACTTAACATATAATCATTGCAGTCCATCACAAATTACATTATTGAACTCCAAATAAAACAAGTCATGGAGCTTCACTAACATTATTTCATAGAACTTCACATTTTCACTATCATTGTACTCCACCTATTTACAATCATTGAATTTCACAAACCATGTCATTGAACTCTATGAAACTTTAATGTAAATTTTCAAACATTTCATGCCACGCTTGCATTAAGAAATTTCACACATTTCAATTGTAAAGCACAAATCAATAAATCCATTAACAGACAAGAGCACGAGAGAGAATTCACTTGGTTACCTTAAACCTTTGAGAGGTCAAATGTCTTACCTCTCAATTACATACTCCCAAAGCTTCCATGAAGCTTGAATGGTGCTAAAAATACTCATTCTACAATTAATCACAATATAATTCATCAATATCACTTTTTGGATAAATTTCACTATCAACTCAAACACTTCTTCACTGTTAAGATTCAATTTCTTCTCATACAAGGGTACTTATGGAGTTTCTTAACTCCCTCTAACTCACAATAAACTCATTAAACTCTTAAATAATTATTAATGGCGTCACATTACCCTAACTACCATATTTATAATGGGATTTTTGGGTATTTTTTGCCTCTAACTACCAACACTTACAAAACCATAAATGCTTATTTTTATTAGCTTAATCAACTCTTATTAACTCTATTTAACTCAATAGGTTCAGACCTATAATCTCTATGGACCAAAAATTATCCTTTTCAATCAAATCCTAACTTTTCAACTAGAGAAAATGGAAGAAAAAGAGAGATTCATGCTTTAAAAGCTTACCTCTAGGGTTTTGAAACTTTAAAACACTTCAAATGCTTGAATCCTTTAAACTCTAGCAGAGCTCTTTCGTTTTCTTTTACTTTTCTTCTATTTTTCATTAGTTTTGCCCTTTTATTTATGCAAAAAAGTGACTATGCGCCGCAGTGCATAGCATAAAGAAGCCCGTCTTTGGTTGTTAGGCACACATGCACCACAACAGATTAACCACAAGTTGTGGCGCGTGACACAAAATTCCATCCTTTAGACTTTCTCCCTCATTCATATTCGAGTAACCCGATTTTACTTTGAACCTGCATTTAGGGATAAAATTACAACCAAAGACGCCCATTAAATCTCTCTGCCCATACATCTCATTTAATAAACTTAATTACTCAAATCAGGTTTGGTTAATCAAGTTTAAATTTTAAGGATGTTACATAGTCCAACTCATATAAAGAGTATAGGTTTTTTGGTCCTGAAAAACTAACTTTTATTTAGATCGGACAGGATCGGGTTTGTCTAGGGTTTGAATCGAACTGAATTGGATTGAAAGATTTTTACACAACCCTAAACGATATGTTGTGAATAGCATGACATTTGCATTAAAAGGTATTTTCCCCACTCTAAATAGAGTAGTGGAGAGCCATCAGAGTCAAGTGACGTGGGAAACCCAACCAAAAAAGAATAAAAGAGTGGAGTTACATATTTACTAATCAATTAATTGGTTAGTGCTTACAACATCCTTATAAACCTTTATGCATATCCAATGTACAAGTGAATATCTGACCAGTTCGATTTGTGATTGTATATTCCTGTGTAAATAGCAGCTTATAATTATAGTCACAACCATTGCATTAAACTGATTTGTTGATGATTTTTCTTCCCGTTAAATGACTAACTTTCTATAACGTTGATCCTGTATTTAAATTATTCTACGAGGATCATACTCAGAATATTCAATGAAAAGCCACGGTTGAAGTTGGGAGGTGAAGATAAAGTCAAAGTGATGAAGAATTATAATCTTTGGGTGGGGAGAGAAGAGAATAGAAATCACAAATGAGTGTAGAACAGCCTGAGAAAAAAATGTTCGCATAATTCTTGACATGCTTCATCCAACCATCATCCTCAATTATTCCTCCCTACAATTTCTAACTCCTTCCAGATCATCCCAAAGCCCAATTTTCACATCCTATGGCCCATCCTCATAGTCCAAGCCCATATTATCATTAAGCCCATTCATCACGAAACGCTCATCTTCCCTGGCCTTGCCTCATACGCTGCAAGCGCTGGCTCCTCTAGTTAGCAGTCCCTTCTCCAACGTTTCGTCACGGCTTGGCGTGGACGTCCTCCTTATCTAAGAATGAAGCTTGAGCTGCAAGCTCCTGCCCTTCTCGTTGCAGTCACGCCATCCATAATATTGCCTCTCATTGCAGGCTTGGAGTTCTGCCCTTCTCTAGTTCTTCTATTGTTTTTTTGAACCCCGTGTTTGAATGATCCCTTCTCTGTTTCAAAGGTGAAAAATGGCAATATCGTTTTATGCGTCTCTTCTTGACGCTTGCTCCTCTCCAAAGCAGTTGCAGAACCTTAAACTAATACATGCACGCACTATTGTTTTAGGCATTTCTAGCCATGATTTCATTCGAATCAAACTTGTATCGTCCTATGCTTCATGCGCCCAATTGCGGCAAGCCAATATCCTTTTCTCCTTTACCAACCGTCGACCCACTTTCCTCTTCAACTCCCTTATCAGAGCTTACTCCTCTCTCAATTTATTCTCTAAGTCCCTCTCCATCTTCCATCAAATGTTGCTTGCCCTGAAACCCTTTGATTGCCGTACCTTACCAGCGGTCCTTAAATCTTGTGCAGGTCTGTCCGCTCTACTGCTTGGTCGGCAAGTCCACGGAGCTGTTGTTGTCAATGGGCTTGCCTCAGATTTGGGCAACTCAACCGCATTGATAAGCATGTATGCCAAGTGTGGTGATTTAGTTGGAGCACGTAAGGTGTTTGATAGAATGCATCAAAGGAGTATAGTGGCATGGTCTGCGATGATGTCGGGTTATGGAATGCATGGAAAATTTGATGAAGTATTTGAGTTGTTTGACAGAATGGTCGAAGAAGGGGAGAGTCCAGATAGTATGACTTTCATTGCAGTTTTGACGGCGTGTAGTCATGGGGGTTTGATAGAGAAGGGAAAGGAATATTTTGAGCTGATGCAGAGGAGGTTTGGAGTGAGGCCAGCGCTGCAACATTATACATGTATGGTAGATATGCTAGGGAGGAATGGTAAGGTGGAGGAAGCAGAGAAGTTGGTTTTGAGAATGGAGATTGAGCCTGATGAAGCTTTGTGGAATGCTTTGTTAGGGGCATGTAAACTTCATGGCAAGGTCGAGTTGGCTGAGAGAGTGGTAGAGAAGTTTTGTGCATAGGAATTTAGTGTAGAGTCGTCAATCTGATCATCATCAATTCATTCAATGTTTTCCTTCATTTGCGGTCACGTCGAGCCGGTCATGGGGCTCTTCTCACAATTTACTGTGCTGATAAATAGTGTCGGCTCAGATGAATAATGCTGGCTTGCATGGGGCCTTGTGCACATGTTTCCTTCCTTTTTTCCTCCCACACTCCGTAATTATCAAATTTCCCAGTCCCTGTGTCGAAATTGGTTGCCTTTTCATGCTTTCCTTCCTTTTTTAAAATTTCTTGTCAATTGTCATGTGCCTCAACACGCCTTCTCCCAGCCGCACTGTTGCCTGTTGTCTCTCCTTGGCTGAAGTGCCGTGCTTCTTTTTTCCGATGGTCTCCTCCCATTTATGTTTCCCAAGTGTGCTTGTCCGTGTGCTCTTAATTTGGTTTGCATTCATTCCTTGTGTGCTCTGTTTATTCGTTTTTCCTTTTCCCTTCGCACAATGCATCTCGATCCATGTGCTCGCCTCTTGTGACGGATGTGTTCTTTGATCTCTCGTCATTATCCCTGACGTTGGCATCACTTTGTTCGTCTCCAAATGCCAAAAATGTCGCGTCCCAGCGCAAAGGTCATTGGGTTAGGTATTTTACTCTTTTATGTTTTTTCCCCCCTGTATTTTTTAATCTGGATTTCTATGTCTTCCCTTAATTGCAACTGCACATGGTTCCTTATGTACGTGTTTAATTTTAATTTTTTGACTTCTTTTTCCCCTAACTTGAAGAGTATGAATTAGAGATTATTTATATAGGGGAGAAGTGCTATTGATAAACTCTCCAAATGACTGTTAATACTTGACATATGGAGAATTCAACTGGTGAATAAACTTGATGTGGTTGACTGTAACATAGATTTATTAAACACATTTGTCAGTGTACAGCTGCACATTCTCTTACATTTGATATTGGAAAAATAATACAAATGATTTGCATGCTCTAAGAGGATACGATGGTCCAGAGTAGGATGTTATTCTCTTGCTTTCAATAATTTCTTTGGAGGCTGGATCAAGATGTGCTCCTACAACGAGTTTCATTATTCTTAACTTTTTTCTACCCAAAAAAAAAAAAAAAATTCTTCACTTCTTGCTAGCGTAGTCATTAGTCCTGTACAACTACTAAAGGAGTAATAAAATTACCAACACTCTTCATAATGGTTGTTTTGAGGGATACAAAATGTATTTTAGTTTTTATATTGAGAAATGTTTGTTTCTTATGTTTGAGGGATATGACTTCTTCAGGGAATAGAGGGATATGGTTGGTGCAAACGGTAAGGCCAAATATACATGAATGTTCTGGTGAATGCTTTCCTTTGCTTTGAATTATATTTCTTCCCTTTCCTATTTTTTTTTTAATTCAAAAGGCAGCATTTTCAAGTAATTGAATGGGTCATAAAAAATGAATGAGTTCTCCATATTAATCTTTCCTAGTTTTAATTGTATCTCTTCGATAGTCTGATGTTCCGTTGGTGATGATTGAAATGAAAATATAAATTCACAAACAAAAGCCACAAGAGATAATATAAGAGAGGGAAGAAGAGACAATTAGATTTTGTAGCCTGGCTTTTTTTGCAGGATCTATCAAAATTGTTGAAACTTAACCTTGGACTTCCATTTCCTTTTAGCACTTTCCATTTTATTGTTCATCATGTGCTTCAACTTTTTCTGCTCCTCTGCATGTTTATAAAATATCATATCCTTGTTACAGTGTAGTACAAGGAGTGACGCAGAAAGAATCCCCATATTTAAGGATAAGAATCCTGTGCAAGTGATAATCCGGCAATGCTAATTATTTGACATGTCAAGGACCTTCTGGTTACATTCAACCACTAGACCTCCCAGTGTGCTTGGATCAATCTGTAATATATATATATATATATATATAAAGATATTTCATCACATAGTTTATCTGAAGAGGGAGAGGGGGGCAGAGAAAGATAATAAAAGAATGTTAACAATAAATAACACCTTCTGTTCAAGGTGAAATGCCATATTTAGGAATTGAAATTTTTTTTCTTCTGTTTTCATTTTGATAGGGAATATTGCTGTTATCAATTGCGATTAATTATTAAAAACATACCTCTTTTAGGTGGAGGAGTTGCAGGTTCTATTGGTATTAATTTTACCCCTCATGTTATTACCTCTAATTATGGGGAGGTGAGCATCTGAAACATTTACTTACTATATTGAGCTTCTGTTCTGCAATTCTAAGTTTTCTCCGTTTTTTTTTTTTTTAAGTGAGGAAAAGCATATCTATAATATTCTTAACCCTGCATGTCAAATTAACCTACGTGATCCTTCGTTTTTCTTCATCCTCTTCATCATCTAAAGTATCATGCTAAACTGTTATTCATGGGCCAAAAGTCTGCAATGCCTTTCAGCTATGGTGAAAAATGCTTTATTTCATACTTAATTTGCTGGCACTTCAAATACACGAAAGTTCAGTTCATTCTGGCGGTGTTGCTCTCCCACATCTATGGTTTCATTGTATTGTTGATTTTCTTTTCATCCTTTCACAAGAGCAATTTTTGTTCTCTTGCCTTTGTTCTAAGCAGATTTGGTTTATGGCTGAATTTCCACACAACTTTGTTGATTTTGATGAGGTGAGTTATTTAGTTGCTTAACCATGAAAACATTGTGATAGAGCTCATGATTTTACTAAGACCTATAAGAGGAAATCAAGGAAGGCAAGAGGTTAAAAGATAACATTATTGTTGGTTCAAATGTTTGCCCTTCGGATCCTAGTTATGAGGGGAAAAAGGAAAGTAATTGATGGCCTAGTGATGTGCTAGAGTCCCAGTGATGGTTAAGGGTCTTCTAGGGGTAAGGGCTGTGCTAGAGTCACTTTTTGGGTCTTTAAATCTTCCTCCTTGCCTAGAGAGAGGGGGGGATTATTTTGAATATTGAGAGCGGTGAGGAGAGCTCTGGCCTCTCGAATGCCAGGTTAGGGGTGGAGGAAGTCGTCTTTCTTCATCATTTTATCTTCTGCTTAGTGTATGTTTGTAAGTGAGTGACTTATATTTTGTGATTGTTGTTTGGTGGAGTGTATTTTGTGCTGTTTCTGTTTCAGTACACTGTAATTTTCAGTTCCTTATTTCGCTGTAATCCAACTTTGCTATTCGGTAATTGTAATTTTCAGTCCCCATTTTTGGTGTAGTTTCTGGTTTATGCTTGTTTAAAGCTTATTAGAATAGAGGGTTCCATCACATTGTGCCTGTTTTACGTAGCTTTTGCTAGTCATGCGCAAATATTATTGCTCTTACTCATACCTATGGCTTCTGCTGCATTAAACACTTTCTTTTAATCTATTTTTAACTTAATTGGTAAGGTTGTAATCATCATAGGCTAAGGCTGTAGTAATTGATGAATTGCCAGTGTCACATCAATTTCCTCTTTGTTGTTCTCTCTCTAATCTATACAACAGTTTTAATTTGCATTGACACTGTTGGTTTATTTTTTCTTTCCAGAACCATTCTGGATTCCAATGAGCTGATTCTCTTTTATCAGTAGGTTTTGCCGTTCTTTCTTTCAAAGATTTGGTTTTTTTTAGTTCTAAACGAGCATCACTATTATGTCTTAATCATTTGTGGGTATTTGTTGATGCTTACAACTTTCTGTTCATATTTCCATTGACAAAGATGCCACCACAGACTGTGTCCTTTTTTCCCTTCTGCATAGTTTTCTTCGTAAATGTAATTTTGATGAAGAGGTTTAATATGTGGTGGTTGGCACGGTATCTCACTAGTTGTTCTGGTTCCCATCATCACTGGCTTGCAATTTGGTGTAGATAAAGTCTCCGGAGCTCATTACCTCCTGTGTTGATAATGTTCTCTTTTTCTTCTTTTTAAAATGCTGAAAACTCTGGCTTCTTAGGTACATCAAGGATTATATATTTACACGTGAGACTGTGCGTTGGCATTTGCATCAGTATGTGTTTTTTATATTGCTCCTTTACTTGTAATTTCTTCACTTATAATATATTAATTGGTGGGAGTATGTTTCACTTTAACCCATTATTTCCCTAAATTTCTATTTGTTTTTTAAATTTTACCCACAGACAAGGACACTAGGATTTCACTCTATTGGTGTTTATCAATCTCTAAGCTAATGAAGAATGAAGGTTTGCCAGGATTATATAAGTAGGATTGAACTTCCTGTTTTCTACACCCTTTTTTATGTTTCTGTGGTCCACAGGTACTTTGTAGTTATGGTTTACCTATGCTTATTTGGTGGTTTCAGAGGAAATGGAGCAAGCGTCATTTGGATTATTAATTATGCTGCCTTGCATTTTACGACATGACAAGTATTGGATCTTGCAGAATTGTCCAATGTTAGGATCAGGTGCTGTTATTGATCTCTTAGCTGGATCTGCAGCTGGAGGCACTTCAGTTTTATGTACATATCCTTTGGACCTTGCTCAGGAAAAACTTGCTTTTCAGGTAGGGATCTCCGCCAACCATTTTGATTTATTTTAAAATATTTGAGCTAGATGCCTTCTCTCTTGCAAATCTATATTCAATTTCATATTGTGAATCCCTTATTTCCTTATATTTTTCTTTTTCTTCAAGTGGGGAAAAAAAGAGGTGACAGAGGAAGACATTTGTGGTAACTTCCAAAGTAGACCAGCAGAGAACTTATCATGGTGTCCGGTGTTTGTGGAACACTTAAAGCATGCCTGGATAGACTTCGGTAAAATTTAGCTTGATAAGAAATTGATCAGAAAGGACGCGGATGATATTTATGGTTTAAATATATATGCCCTTTGGTTTATCTCATAAAAGGTGACACAGTTAACTATGAGTAGCAATACATTCAATAACATGTTAAAGAATGTTGGCTTAAAGATTCATTCATATTTAGGACATTTTATTAGTAAATTTGTTTCAACTTAAGCCTCTTGAATGGAATGTGTCTTGTTCTCTTTAATTCTCTTCTAACCCACATATAACTCATACATACGTACGTACATACATATATATCATACATAGATAAAGTGGCTTACGTGTTCTCTATATTTTCCAATGAACTTGTGATATATGTGGATCGAATTTCTAAAAAGACCTAATTATGTGACATTTTCTTGTAACAATCCTCTTTAGTTCTTTTTTGTTCCTTTATTAAGAATATTTTCAAGTCACTTAAAATACGCACGTGTATCGACTTTAGATTTTTGTTTTAATTCTTGTGTCGTGTGTAACATCTTATTTCTACCTTGATATTAGTTGAACCTGTACCATTTATTTCATAAATTTATTCTGCAAGTGGTATTATAAAGGGTGTCCTAAATTAAAACTTGATCATCAGACTAATTATAATAAATAAAAGACTCACCCAAAAGGATTATCTTATAAGAGATTAACTTAAATAAATTCTTAACATATATTTTCACAAACGATTTAACATTAAGGGATTTCAAGTTTTTAAAATATTTTAAAAACTTATATCATTCAATTGAACGTGTGCAGAAGCATGATAAAAGAACACATCAATATGGGAGAAAAGTTTCCCCCTTTATTTTCTCTCTATGCTTTACTCTACAATACATATATACATATTTACAATATAACATTTGGCCACTCAAATTCTTTCATAACAGGCAGTGAGGGGCTAAGGTCTCAATTACATTTATCACAATGATTATTATCTAGTTATCATACTTTATATATCATCTATTCATCGATAGCCCATCATGTGCATGAATTTTTCTTTTCATTCATATATAATTAATATCAACTGTTCACCCTTGGACATCAAAAATACAAGGGAGGACCATAACAACATTCAAGTTCTCAAATTAAGCAGATAATAATTATTTTACTTGTATAAATATTTTGGCCCGTTAATATAGCACAAGCATCAAACCACATTCCCCAGGGCCCAAATACATTTCCACGCAATACAAAACCTATAATGCAAGTGGATCAAGAATATATTATCTTAGTTGGCAATATCATAAACTATATACACATATCAAAATAAAAAGAGAAAGGCCTATAGACGTGATTATTATCACTTGGCCTAATGCTCATTTCCTTTATTTTTCTGAGATGAGCTAGCTCCTGTAATATATTAAAAGAGAAAAGTGAGTATAACCACTCAGTAATCAAGGTACATCTAAGTTATACAAATACATGATAATTAATTATGAATGCAAGTAGCTAATAAATTTATCAAGGTGACCATGTAAATAATGACATTAATAACATGTTAATCATATTAGCATCTAACTCGTGTAAATAATCTCAAGAGTAAAGTCAAGTATAAAATTTGCACAAGTGGCCACTTATATATTATTTGCATAATTACTACATGTTTTCATTTCTACAATTATAATCATATTTTTAACATAGTCATCAATCATTCAAATGGCATGATAATAATAATATGCATGATCAATCTCTTCCTTATATCCCCCCTCATTTTCTCTGACATAAAATTCGTAGGCCAACAACTGGAAGGGATCGTCTATGTGGTGAGACTACGCAAGATCTTAATCATATTATGAGGGGTTATTGAGTCAGCGTTACCTTACTCACTTATGAACAAGGTTTCTCCCAAATTACACGCTATAGGGTGTCATATCTAAAACTAGCTTTACTGAAAACTTCAGGTAGGCCAATAGGGTCAAGTCCTTTAATGGGAACAATGCTACAGTACCTTATAAGGTAAATAACGACTATAACCCATAGGATTATTGATTAATAGCCAAGTACTATATGAATTTTGCATAACTGCTAACTCTTTCATTAAGGCGAACTCCCGTCATATGATCATACTTATGAGAAAATGCATTTTAAAAATTTATATATATAATTCATAATTATTCGACATGCTTATCAACTTTCTTGCTCAACAAATATCAAGAATCATCATATTTCAATCATGCCTCTTGTATCAATTTTTATATTATCACATAAAACTACATTAGCATCATATAAAATTCAAAATGCTTATATACAATTCATCACTGTGCATAATCCACAACTTATAACCAAGAGTGTACATACCAACAATCATCAATCTCATTACTCACACCAAGTTACAATTAACTTATTCACAAGTCATAGAGTATCAACAAAGCCACATGCATTACAAACAACCATTTCAAAATTTAGATATACATATACATACATATATATATATATATATATATTCTTTTGTTTCACCAACATAATTAATTAATTAATATATAAATACATAAAATAGATTTCCCCCAATTGTCTCAACCTTTGAGAGGTCAAAGGTTACCTCTCAAGTTACAACACTTCCAAAGCTTGAATGGTGTCAAAAAAAAAAAATTAATCTACAATTGATCATATCCTAATGTGTTCATAATATTATTAACACAATTTTCACTCATACTCTAACACTTAAGTATTTATTTTATTTTATTTTATTTTTTTAAGACCTTAGTCTTAGCCTCTTGAGTTTTAAAATTTAATTTCATGTATTTGAACCTATCTACTTAGTTTAATAGTCTCATTCATAATAATTTCATTGAAGTTTAGCTAAAAATATCATTCAAATAATTTTCTAATATCAAAATTTCTCTTTTTATTTTAAAAATTCACACATAAAAATATCCAAAAATTGCAAACTTGTTTTCAAGCCTAGAGTCATTATTCTATAGCCATAATAATTTATTTCTCATCTTAAATAATCATCTAAATATCAACAAATTAATTTATATTTTCAAATTAAATCAAAAATCTACTCATAGAAATCTAGGGATAAACTCAAATGCCTTAAATTTCAATTCTATTAACAAAATAATACTCTAGAATATTTATTATACTACTAACAACCTCAACAATCAGATTTACTCATCAAAAATTTATCCTTCTTTCAAATCCTAATGCTTCGTTTGGTATGATGGAAGAGTTTTTGATGAAATCGGAATTGAAATTGGAATTGGAATCGAAATTAGAATCAGAATAGAATTGAGTTATAAATGTATGTTTGGTATGAAGATGGAATCTGAATATAATATTAATAAATATATGTATTTAAAATAGATAAAGACCAAAATGCCCTTATAAAAAAATAAAAAACTCAGCCATCATGATGGAGTGTGTATGTGGGGCACTTATGACAATTCCATAGAATTGTGGCAATTCCATCATGATGGAGATGTAATTAAATTCTAGGTATTTCGGCAGAATTGGAATCCATAAAGAATTGGATTCATGCATACCAAACTATTGAAAGCATGATTCCAATTCCAATTCCATTTCTCTTGGATGCAATTCTAGTGTACCAAACATGACCTAAGTTTTTTAAAATTTTAAAATCTGCAGCTCAAAGGAAAAAACGATTAAGAAAAAAATGTTTAAAACACTTATTTACTTTTAAAATACTTAAAATCTTGGAGCTTTACCTTCTAAATCAGCTCCTACCACCGCAGCGTTGCTTGCTCTCTCACTCACTCTCTGAGCGCGGAAGAAGGAATGAAGAAAAGGGAAGAGAAATGAAAAGGGCAATAGAAGTATTGGTTTTAAAACACAGTGGGTCCCACATTAAATTCACGCCTCTCTCTCTTTCTTTTGTTTTCTTAAATTTGCGGAACACAAAACCGTTCCTTCCTTTTCTGTTTGTACTATTTACACATCAACACACACACAAAAGCAAAAATTACTTCCCCCCCTCCTCAATTTTTTTTTAAGTTCCTTTTCCTTCTTCTTTCTTTCTTCTTCTTTTTTTTAATATTATTATTACTATTTCTATTTACTATAAAATCATAATTTAGGATTTTAATCTAAATTAAATTCAATAATAACCTTTTAACTAAAATTATTTATATTTAAGTATTTTTTTAAAATTAATCATTTGCTCTAAATTAACTTAATTAATCTTAAGGTAATTTTTGAAATGTTACAGGTATTATATCCATTTCTTGGTACTTTAGTAAGTAGAGGTTGTCTTTTAAGGATGGAATAATTTGCGTCATGCAATCAAAGCCTTTGTCAAAATATTATAGGCGGTAGACGCAAGAGGAAGTATAAGAGACGGCATGAACGATGTTCTTTCTCAACCAGCACATAATGGAATTAACAGTGTGCTCACAAGTGCCTACAAGGAAGGGGGAGTTCGTGGTCTTTATAGAGGTGTAGGTGTGCATATCCTAGGATTTAGCCATAAAATTTTATTGGTCCATTTCATGTTAAGCATTAGTGGCTATTGATAAAGAATGCTTTTGTCTCTTGCAGTATCCACCTAAATCGTTTTGATGGTATATACAATTACAGGATTATTTTTTAGTGTTTATCTAGACAAATAGAATATGAAGAATTCGATGCGTTTGACTGCCTGGTTGTTTTGTCCGGAGTCTTCAACTATTTTTAGCTTGCACTTACATATCCCATGAATATGTTAGATTCCAAAGTACTTTACCACTTTCGATTTGTCATAAAGATACGATTTCCATGAATTTTTGCTTCCTACCTGGAATATCAGACTTGCAGTTTACGTCTACTTGCTTTTTTGGCTGTGAGACTATATGATATCTTTTGAAAGGTCTTGACTTCTTAGCATGAGTTTTCTGGTTTTTATTTATTTGTATAGATAATTGAAGATGACCTCGTGGAGACTCACGAATTGTGTACCAGAAAGGAATTTGCAGGATGACTGGTTAAATTAAATTTTTTTCTGGAATGGTTAGTGTCTAACCAAAAGCATGAACATGACTTTGTAGTTGGAAATGTTTTAGAGCTGAAACTTTTCTTTTTTTGTGATTTTTTTGCAAAGGATTTATTTATTTGTCTTTCACGAATCCAATACGCAGGATTGCCCCAGTTGTTACACTCGCTGGGTCACCGGTTATCAAAGTTGAAGACCCAGTTTTTGCGGCCATTCAAGGAAAAAGATGATTGATCTTTACTCCTAGAATAAAATTTGTTTTCTGC